GTGGCGAACAAAAATAAAACCATTTAAATAATTGAAAATCGAACAAATCGCGCTGCGAGACCCCAAAAACACACACACAAAAACGGCATGGAATAGATTTCGAACGATTTCGGTTCAATAATAAGTAAAATGGAAAATGTCTGGATGGCTGGATGGAAACGTATGCAAATTCTGAAAAAGAGCCACTAGGTAGAAGTGTGGTAGGGGGGAGTGTGGTTCGAGGGGTTGGGGGGCCCAGGCATAGCCTAAACAAAATGGTGTCCGACAACTAAATTCAACTATGATGGCTGTACAGCGATATGTATGGTTTGTAGGAGAGTGTATATAGGGATGTGAGTGTGTGGAGTGCTAGGGATGGGTGCGTGATTATCGATGGAATAGGTTAGGTAGAGGCGGCTGCCAGGCTGGCTTGGAGCCCGTCGCCCTTGGGCCGGTTTATCGAAGGGTTTTGTTTGGAGAATGTATGGACTGTTAAGACTATAGGAAAATAGAGAAATACCTAATCAATTAAGGCGTATATTTCGCTATATTTTGGCCATGAAACACTGGAAGAAAGGCACAGATTTTACCAGAATTCCCATGAAACCAATGGGAGCGAACATTTCCATAAAAGCCAACAACTTCTTGGCTCTTCATTCCATGCCCAAAGAGTTCAAAGAAAAAGCCAAACTAAAACTGGAAAAAATACATGAAAAAATAAATTTAAATCATTTTAATTTAAATTAAATAAATATTAAATGTAATAAATTTAATATTCAATTAAATTAAATAAATATTAAATTTAATTTACATAAATGTAATATTTAGATTAAATAAATATTAAATTTAAATTAATAAAATATTAAATTTAAATTGAATATTTCCGAGTATGTATTTCCAATTCCAAAATCAAAGAAAGTGGCAAAAAAGATGATTCTCGATCGATGAGATTTCGCTTCTCCATCTTCAATGGTATCGTAGATTGAATAATATGACCCCTAACCCTTGTTAAGCCACACTTATGCTTTATTTTCCACACCTTCAAAGGACTTTCCTTCCCAGCAGAAACCACAGTCACGCTCCGCTCTCACGATTCACGCACATCTCCAGCCAGAAGGCCTACAAATAGCTAGACATATGTACACACAGAAGTACATATATACATACATATATATATACATATGTAGGTGCGAACATAAATACTATGTAGATAGATATGTATCTGTATATGCTGTATGTTGGTTTTGCGCTCGGCCAGCAAATGCGTGTTAGATTGTTGATGTGCAAAATCTAATTAATTATTTCATTAAAACAAAAACAAAAAACGAGCCATTTTATTGACATTCTAATTTGGATTTTTAGAATATTCCGCTCTAAACATATACATATACATATGTGCATGACAAAGATATAAATACAGATACAAGTACATACGAATTATCCAATGTACGATGGTACGCCCCCGCATGCCGTCAAACACGGCGGATGAGCGATTTTAATTGGTTTTTAACTAATTTGCCTGCATAGCAGCCCCCTCCTCCCCCCAAGTGATAGAGGGAGATGGAGAGAGACCCTTTTTGCATTTGGGGGGGCCCTGCTTAAACGTCCATTGTTGACAATCTATATACTATAATTCGATTTGACATTTTGTGCCCGGCGCGGCCGTCCGGCGACCGGCGACAATGACCAACATTTAATCGAGATTTTGTGTGTGTCCAAAACTAATCAGGAGCATAACAAATTATCCACAGAATGGTAACAAATTGGAAATTATCTGCCAGATAATTGGTCACATTTATGGGGTGGGGGGGGGGGGGATACGGATATACCATCCCCAGCTTTTGAGTCAATATCCCATTTCCTGCCTCCCCCCTTTAGGCGTTACAATATGGAGTCATAAACGATATAAACATAACTGTAAAGATAAAAGTAATGATGGAGCCCACGAAAAGGAAGGACTCGCAAGAAAACTACAGACTTGTAACACGGATTCGAAGCTCCCTCTTTGACAAACTCCAAATGCAAATCGTAAAAATAACAATCATCATCATAGCAGGCGGGTTTTCCCCCCCCGTCCTTCGGCACGTATGTACACATGAGGGGGCGGAAAGGGCTAGGAGGGGGTGGAGGGTAAAGTATTTGCCCAGATACTTTACTTTCGGTTCACTCACCAAGGCGCCGTATCAATTTACCCAAAAATAACAAGTAACTATGAGCCGTGTGGCGAGTGGAGACCTTGAGATACTCTTTGGAGGGATTTTGGAGGGATTTTTGGTGGGGAAAATGAAGAGAAAATGTACCTTTTTGCGTTTAAAAAATTGTAGAAAATATTACAACAAAATTGGGCTTTTAAAAATTAGTTTATCTTTTGGAAAATTGATTAATTTATGGCCTGGAGCCAGCTCAAAAGCCAGCCTAAAACTGCGTACCAAAGGCATGTATGGCCGTTACTCTTCTCTGGGTCAAAGGGGGCTTGCACTGAACACTCTTAGCTCAACGTTTGAAAGATTTATCCTGCCATAAACCTTTCCCAAATGGTCTCGAAATGAAGTATCTCGAAAAACCAACGGAAGTAAGGACTTGCTCAAAAGTAGACCTATTGGATACATAAGGAACAGCTCTTGAAACAGCAGGAGACTCAAAAGTTATAGTAGAGATAGAGAATATATATCTTCTTAGATCTGTTTATATCCCGAAAGATTGCTCAAGCCCAGGTCTTTCCTCAACCAAAGCCATAAAGGGCCTACTATACAGATAGTAATGAAGGCAAACCTAGCCCCTAACCAGATACACCCAATTCCTTGCCGGAACCGACGGGGCTGTACTACAAATAGTTAGTGCCAATTTGATTGTGCTCATGGCCAACAGCCCAACAGCCGCTGTAGACGCCACCCCAGCCCCTTTTGGAATGTGCGTGTTTGTACAGTCATATGTATGGATCGTTATATAGTATCTATGTATCTAGATATGTGCACACACAAGCATGTATCTGTGTGTGTTTTGCCGATGATTGTGTGTTGTTTAGTAATTCGTTTTTTATTTACCATTATCATTTACATTTATTTGTTATTATGTTACGCGGATATCCAAGTCCCGCCACCCCCCCACAGCCCCCTCAACCGACTAAACAAGTGCGGGCTATGCCCCCCGTCCACGTTTTGTTGCCAAATAGATTTTTGTTTTGCTAAAATGTTCAGTTTTTAGGCAGTTTTGCAGCCATTTTGGAACATTTTGAAGTGTGGCAGGGCATTGCATTCGGCAATTGCTGCGTTTGTTGCATCCCCCCTCCCTCCCCACCCCCACCCACACGTAGCACGGGTATCTAGCACACCCAATATCCTTCCTCTGATTACATGTGAACCCCCATTTACATATATTTTTTGTCGGTTACCAAGCCGGAACGTACGTGTATCTACTGCTGTTGTTGTTTTATTTTCGTCGGTGGGTTCTTGGCTTTCGTTAGTTATGGCCCCCTCCCCTTCCCGCCCCTCCCCGCCCCGTCCCGCCCCGAATTTATGCGATGCGAATGTTTGTTCAATAAACGAAATAATTGCCAGCAAATGTGTTATGATGAAATTGTTTTGGGTTACTTCATAAATTAGCGCAAACGAAAAACACACGCAGCACTGGGCACTGTCAAAGGGGGCCCCCATCAACCCCCATGTGCCAGCCAAATTCGTAGTGATGTAGAAACCGTAAAAATAACTATTAAACAACAAATAAAATAGGTCTACTTTTGAGCAAGTCCTTACTTCCAATGGGTTTGTGGAGAATATTTGGAAAGGGTTTAGGTTTGCCTCTAAATCTGTCTAATGTTGGGCCAGGAGTGTATCCAATCGATTGAGCTGTGAAGAAGAGTAACGGCCATACAGTTCTTCGGCTCTCTTCGATCTCAGCAGCTCTCTTGAAGTGTTCTCAAGCGTTTCAGCCATGCCTGCCTGTAGGTGGACCCTGTATCCCTTTCATTTATGCCAAGATTCTTTGCATCCCCTTTGCCTGAGCGCTGAAGAGTCGTTCCACAGATCAGCGCCATAAAGAGGTATCTACCTACACATATTTCTTTCATCTATCTGTATCTTTCTGTTAAAAGATGCATCTTAGCCTTAGTTAGAAGCTTTTAAGGCTTAACCTTAAGTCTGGAGCTGAACCACATATCCAAACCCCTCAAAAAAAGAGAGTTACAGAATACTTTGATAGCTGAAATATAAGCCCCAGCTCTCTAGCCCATCCCCTTCTCTGCTGACTAAACCAGATCAATGTAATCCCCCGGCAACAAGCAGGCCGGGGACTGCACTGCCGTCCGGCCCCTGTTCAATAGTGCCTTAGTCACGGCCAGGCCAGTGATGGTCATAATCGGGTCTCAAGCACCAGAATCATTAATCAAGCAGCGAGGGACTGAGTCAGAGTGGAGTGGAGTGGAGTGCCCCTTGGTAGGGCCGAACATGATCTTTGTGGGGGGAGGGGGGGGAATGCAGGCGCCAATTGCAGGAAAAGAGTTTCCGCCTCCCCGAGATACGATTGCAAAAGATCGGTAATGGTAATCGTAATCGTCATAGTCGTAGATCGCTAGATCCCAGAGAGAGAGATGAATGCGTTTATAAATATTTTGATGGTGGTACATCGATCAGGTTTTTGGGTTCCGCGCAGAAGCCACTCGAAGATGGATGGATTGCCGGGGCAATCTTCTAATGATCTTGTACAATTGCTTTGGGTTTTTCTCCTTCGTTCGTGGAGGTTTGTGGAGGTTCGTGGAGGTTCGTGGAGTGGAGCATTGTGTGGCTTGTAAACGCTTAGACGTTAAATTAAATTGATTTGCGTCTAATGCCCCGACAAGTGGTGGCCGGTCTTCGGTTCGTGTAATTAATGATTCCATTAGACACCGGAGAGCGGAGACCCGGTCCCGCTGCTTATGTATGAATAATTGGTAATAATATTTAATGATTGGCTCTGGCCACCACCAGCCACATGCCACCTGCCACAGCAATTGTACCGCCACTGGACTTATAGTTTTTCTCTTGCAGCTCCTACCATCATTACCAGCTCCGTCCATGGCCACGGCGGCGGCAAGCAGAGTCCGGTGAAAATGGACAAGGGCCGCCTGAGATTGCCGCAACTTTCGCCAAATTAGCAGAAGGCCAGGAACAGGAGAGCAGACATCCACGGAGACACAGAGGAGACACAGCGGAGTCTCTCTCTCTCTCGTTGGCAAAGTAAATATTTGCGAATCTCGACAAAAGGGCCACAACAATAGCCATTCAATCGGAGCCGAGGAATTAGCCACAAAAGAAGACGCATCGCGCGAGTCCATTAAGACCAAAGCCCCACTCCCCCCCCGTCGCCCCATCGCCCCGTCGCCCCGTTTTGGCACGCACAGATCCCGGGAGCAGGTCCAGAGCCGGTCCACTTAAATGACCGAATCCACACAGCTGCAGACGGCGGAGAACAACAACGCGGGCGTGGTGAAAATGGAGCCACCGCCACCGGCGACCTCCTCATCCTCGGGCCACGCGCTTTCCGCACTCTCCATGGCGGCCACCGGCTCCGCCCTCTCCCCAGCCACACCGCCCCCATCCGCCCTGGGTCTGGCCCAGCACCAGCACCATCTCCACCACCAACAACAACAGCAACAGCAGCAGCAGCAGCACTATGCCCTCAAATGGAACGACTTCCAGACCTCGATACTCAGCTCGTTCCGGCACCTGCGCGACGAGGAGGACTTCGTGGACGTGACCCTGGCCTGCGACGAGCGCTCCTTCACCGCCCACAAGGTGGTGCTCAGCGCCTGCAGTCCCTACTTTCGCAAACTGCTCAAGGCCAATCCCTGCGAGCATCCCATTGTCATACTGCGGGATGTGCGAAGCGACGATGTCGAGAATCTATTGAGGTAAGACCTAAAATCCTAAGAAGATATAGTAGATTGGTAGATGAACCCAAAGGAAAGGGTTTTCTGCCTTGAAAAGTCATTCAAAGTCCCTTGTCCTTGGGTGTTCCTAGAGGCAGGCCTTCAGCCTGTTCATTCCCTTCTGAATACCGTCTAATCTTCCTCTCTAACCCCCAGCTTTATGTACAACGGCGAGGTGAATGTCAGTCACGAACAGTTGCCCGACTTCCTGAAGACTGCGCATCTGCTGCAGATCCGCGGACTGGCGGATGTCAATGGGGGCTATCCCTATGCCAAGGCCCTCTCCGCCGCCCTCTCGCACAGCAGCAGCAGCAGCCACAACAACAACATCAGCAGTAGCCACAACAACAACCTGTCGGAGAGCAGCAGCCACAACAAGATCAGCAGCTATCTGCCGCAGGCCCAGACACAGATCCCGAACAACAGCAACATCAGCAGCGGCAGCGGCAGCAACAGCGGGGTGCTCAACAGCAGTCACGGTTCGCCCTTCAGCACGCCCCAGGCCCCAGCCTCAGTGCCGGCTTCGAGTGCCGCAGCGGCCGCGGCGGCAGCAGCAGCGGCAGCCTCCCTCACCGCTGCCGTGGCAGCAGCGGCAGCTGCCACAGCCAACGCCAACAGCAGCAGCGGCAGCAGCCAGGCACAGGGCCAGGGCCAGGGCCAGAGTGGAGGAAGCGGCAGTGGCACGCCCGCCATCCAGGAGCTGAAGGCATCGGCAGCGTCGCCCGTAAGAACACCCAAACCCGAACCCCATCCCAGCAAAGTAACGCTTGCACCAGACCTGTTGGACCGGCACCAGACGCCCACTAACCCACACGATTATCGTTTCAGGCCAGCAGCAACCACTGGGACATGAGCGATCTGGAGGGGAGCCGCAAGAGCCACCTCACGCCGCCGCCGCAGAAGCGCATCAAGAGCGCCGATCTCTTCCGGGCCCAGCACGGCATCAGCCCCGAGCGGCTGCTGCTCGACCGTGAGTTTCCCGTGGCCGGACAGCACCCGCTGACGCGCAACCGCAGCGGACGCGACACCTCCAAGGACCGGGAGCGCAACCTGGAGCTGCGCGAGTCCCTGCTGGGACAGGCCCTGGAGAACAGCAACGGCCAGCAGGCGGCGAATCAGGTAGGTGTCGAGTCCCTCACGTCTCTATTCAGTACGGGCCCCTCACGCCGTCCGATATCTGGTGTCGCGCAGAAACACGATCTCGGACAAAGTGCCGGCGAGGACTCGAACAGCAGCGACACGGAGCCCTCGGACCGGGGCGATGGCCAGCACGATGGCACCCTCGACGGCATCGACGGCAATCAGCGCTCGCACTCGTTCCCCAATGCATTCCTCGGCCTCCAGGGCATACCCGGGCTGCTGCCTGGGCCCTCTGGAATGGGCAGTGATTTCGGTGAGTACTGTACTTGAACGATTACGATTACGATAACGATTACGATTATGAGCTTGCCATTCGTTTACACTTTATTCGATCGAATATTCTAAAATACTTGCCTCTTGTGTATGATTTACCGATCGATCGGAGCGACATTCGCATATGATTTGCATTTTGCTAGACATTTGTTGCATAGTAACTAACTATCAGTGTATCGATAAACCGATAAGCCGCTAATCGAACGAAATTTTGTAAAGAAACCAATTGGCATAAACAAAAAGATGATAAATACATACAAATAATTGGCATAAACCAGGCATATGGCATTTACACACCAAAAATACAATTTGTTATCGATTAATCGACCTTTTATTTATCGATTGAACAATGCGAGCTATATACCAAATTTCGTGTATAATTTGCATATTTATAGACTTTAGATCACTTGTAACTTACTATAGAATAATCGATAAACCGATAAACGCAAAAATACGAAAAAACAATTGGCAGCAAACAAATTATTATGAAAATATAAGCAAAATCCCTATAATCCAAATTGTAAACAAAATCCATGTAAATTCTAAGACAAAGAGCTATCGATAGTTATCGGTTTATTGTGGAATATGTTATAATCGAAACCTTTTGCATTCCTTATTCATGTATACAAGTTTTATATAATTATTATCCACCTAAGTCGTAGCATAAGTAGTGCAGTGAAACACACAAATGAGCAATCGGATGGGGCCATTTATCGATAACACGGCCATAACGATATACACCCAATTTAGCAGGCACTCGGGCCTAAGGGAGGAGGCAATCATTAGGCCCATAACCAACTGTCACTGGTCCAAGGCCTACCCTATTCCTCGTCCTATATCGATATCCCCTTGAAGAAATATGCGCGAAGCACGTGTCGCATTAGGCCGGGACATTCGAACAGGGTGTGTGATTATAAACCTATTCCGATGTGGGGGATAAGTGTACACAACCGACCATTCACGTATGTGCGAATGTTCTACATAACGGACAACAAAAAATGATTATTGCTATTACCGGAATAGCAATAGTATTGCTATTGACAGAACTATGGGCAGGGCCAGGGCCAGGGCTATGGGCTATCGGCTGTTACTGTTATTGTGATTATGATTACCATTCGATGGTAGGGCGTTACAAATATGGATCCGCAGAGCTGTTGTTTGTGTTGCTTAAGCACATGACAGGCACTTTGTCCAGCCTCGCAAATGTCGCATTTATCGAGCATTAAAAAGATAATAGCCTCGGACTCTGGCCGGGAAGCCTGGTCTCTCGTTTAATATTCAGCGCACATAGATCATTGCAACAAATGTTGGCCGGCACTTGGTCAGTTTAGTCAGACAGCTGCTCGGAGAGAGGAGAGTCCTGGGTTCGGAGAAATCAAATTTAATAAAGCATAAACATTCAATAAGCTTCGCTTCGGTCAGGCACGACTCTGCCTCTACCTCTATCGCTGCCTCTGTCTCTGGCCCAAAGTCATTTGAAATTCCGAGCAGCGGTAACGGCCAACCGGCTGGACTCTTGGCCATTTGGAAATCCGAATCGAAAATATTAACGGGGCCCGAGCAGAAAGGATAAACTTTTGCGCAATGATAAAAATGATAAGTTTTTTTTTCTCGACTCTCCTTCGGTATGTCCACCCACACACACAGGGCAAAAAAAGGGGCGACACACACACACACACACACACACATGGCCATGGAACATGGACATACATATTTAGATTTTATTTCGTTTTATTGCTTTTTTGTGCATTCGATTTATTTGGAAGGCGGCAGGCCGGGCCGGGCCAGGCCAGGCATTTGGCAATGGCCGAAAACGGACTTGGAAATTGCGCACATGTGTGCGCAAGGACTCGAGAGTCCACCCCCCTCCGGAGTCCCACATCCCGTAATATGAGTTGGGTTTGCATTTTAATATATTTACTTCTCGCATGCCGCCCCCACCTCCGCCCTCCGCCCCCACAAATGTCACACACTCTCACAATCAGATGGAACGACAGGAGGAGACGCGGGTTGGGGGTTGGGTTGGGGGGTTGGAGGGGCAAAAACTACAAAAGACGGAAAAAGTTTACTTTGCAAAAATCCATTGCAGAAACATTTATAAAGTGGCCCCGGACCAGGCCCAGAACTTGGACCGAAAACGTCTTTTGGCATAGAAAAAGGACTAGAATAACAAGGAGAGAAATGTAGGAGAGGCGAACGGGGGGCTGGACCCTTCCTAGGGGGCGTCTTCGCTCAGGACATTTTAAAATGAAAATGATAGCAAAGAAGACAAAAAAGAGTAGGAGCAAGAGAGAGAGAAAGAACGGACAAAGGACAAGGGACAGCCGGACAGGGGGACAGGGGGACAGCTAACGTGGCCCCAGGCTGGCGGCGTGGCGTCGCCTTCAGGTGGGAGTGGATTGGAGGCGGCCCAAACATTGACAGCAAATAAATGGCAGCCAAAATAATAACAGCAAAGGGGTGGGCAGGCGGACAGCGCACTTCAAATCGGTAAGAAGAAAGGATAAGAACTAAACCCGATGCTTTGTGTGGCCTGATATGAGGCTTGTCCTGTCCGCTGCTGTTAGCTGCTTGCCAAGCGCATACTGACTGATAGTCAAAGGGAAGTCGGCAGACGGCATTTCTGGCAGGACTTGCAGCGTCCTTAGGTGCGAAACGCGCGGCTGCAGTTGGCGCCGCGAGGCGTGGGCGAAAGGAGAGCAAAAAAAGAGGGGAATGGTGGAAAGAAATCACTGACATATGAGGCCAGTTGCTAGCTTCTTGGCCAAAAGCAAATGCAAAAGTTTGAGGGACAGCGGAAGCCGGCGACGGGGCAGGGCAGGGCCGGAGACCCGTCTTGGCTGGACCGACTGGCGCTGTCGCTGGGCATTTGGCGTTGGGGCTAATGCGCAAAGTTTCTTGCCATCTGGTCCAGACACACACGAGTACGACGAGGAGAGGAGAGAGGGGATGGTGGTGCACCCATATGTGGCCAGAAATGCATTTCGCCGCCGCCGCATTTCTTTCTCTGTTGATTTATTCGAAAAATATTATTTATTTGGGCAAACTGATTTAATCTTTTGACTGCATTTGTCGTGACTTGCATTGATAGAGGGCAAAATAAATTGATTTACTTGGGCAGGGAAAAGGCCCGGCCAAAGACGTGTATGTGCTTCAACCCTATCCCAATTAAAATTTGCCCTGCCCTGCCCACAAAGGGGGTTACAAATCTCTTCCACCCTCCTGGCAGTTCGCAGATGATTTAAGTCCTTGGCAATAGAGACATTTAATGACGTACGCGCCCAAAAAGCTGTTAGTCCTTCGGGATCCTTTGGCTCTGCCTTTGGCCCTGCGAGAAACATTATTTCTCAAGCCAAACAAAACGCACCCATGCCGAGGGGTGGGGGGGGTTGAAGGAAGCAAAGGAAGCAAAGGACCAAGGTGCGTGTGTAGTCGTCCTGGCTCTCTATTTGTTGGCGTGTTTGCATTTAATAAATTCGATTAACAACGGAATAAATACGCTTAAATGCGGAAAAATAATGAAAACTAACGAAAAGCGTTTTGCCTTTGCCTTCGGTTCTGCCTTTGTCGGACACCGTCGCCTGGGCGCCGCTTTCATTCCATCCGGCATTCAATCATTCCATACAGTTATTCATTTTACGAGCTGTGTTATTATTGTAAATATGTATGCGTATGCGAGTGCCTGTTGTTGCTGTAACAAATACAAATACATTACGTGAATAAACGCACCCATTATTTCATTTCATCAAGAACCATTAACGCCAACACGCTTACAAACCGTAGCCCCCCCTGTCCACCCTCCCCACCCTCTTATGTGTGTGTGTGTGGGGGGGAGACTCCCCACTCCCCACTCGCAGGCTCCTCCATACAGCTGCTGCAAATGAGCGAAGGACATGAAAATGTTCAAGTAGATATACGAACACGGACACAAAACTTTTCCGTCCGGGGATAATGAGTAAAATGATTGGAAATACATTTGCAGTGCGTGCGTCCGTCGCATGTATCTGTATCTTTTGCTCTGTTCAGCCCAAGACATGGTTATGTCATCTAAAGAGGAGCTTCTTGAGCGGCTAGTGGCTTCAAACCGAGAGTTTTGCCTACTCTTTTTTTTCTGCAATGCAAAAATTTATGGTAGATAATTTTCAGATTTATATATTTGCTGTGGAATCCTTTGGCCGGCCCCCATGGCACGCCCAAAAAACTAAACAAAACAAAAATTGTTATCAAATTAATTTCTAAAACTCCATCTGCTGCACGCCACAGCCTATATGCATATATGGTACATATTGGGGGGGAGGGGGCTATTGGGCGTACAGTAACAAAGTGCCAGAACCGGAGACATTTTGGCCACACACCCCACAAGGGGGAGAAAGGAATCGGGGGATGGACCGAAAACGAAACCGAAACTAAAAACTTTTGAGTTAAATTCCCGCTCTAATGTTTATGTAGATGAGGGATTATGTCATTGTGCGCACAGACCCACACACACACACACGAGAAGATCCCCAAAAACCCAAAGGACAACGGACAGGCAAGGTCCTGGAGGGGGTATCCTCCCCCCACCCCCCCACTTGCAACACTTGAAAATTCTAATTTTCTGCTTAAACTTCAAATGAAATTGTTTTGCACACAGTTTTTCGGGAATAGAAAATGGAAAAAAACATTATTATTATGTATGTATGAATGTATCTCCCTCTCTCTCTCTCTAAATCCATGTATCTCCCTCTTGCAAGGAGTGCCCCGGACTGAGGGGGGGGACTGGACAAGTGTTTGCCATAGAAAATACATTAAATTTAAACAAAATTCTATGTAGTTGTTGTTCTACTTGAGCTTAAGCCCACACGCACACACACACACACACAAGCAAGGGAGGGGTGGTTGGGGGTGGCGGGGGTTGGGGGAGGAGCAGGGACAAATGCAAAAGTTTTGCTCGAAACTATTTGGCGTTGGCTGGGGATGGAATTGGGTTTGTTCTCGTCT